CGAATCCAGTTCAAAACGAACAGGAACAACTGTTGGGCATTGTACCCATTCTTTCCGTTTCCATTTCGGGCGTCCAGCGTGGAGGAGCAACTTCTCAGCGACCGTGCAGGCGTGTGACACGTGAAGCTCTGGGCCTAGCCTCCGAGTGCGTGAGCCCGCCTCCCGGGCACACGCCCGAGTGGTCCACGCTCTGAGAGTGCTCTGGCCGTCCCCTGGCCGTCCCCCCTGGGGATCCTCCTCCTCCTCCTCCTCCTCCTCTTCTCCTCCTCCTCCTCCTCCTCCTCCCCCTCCCCCTCCCCCTTCCCCTTCCCCTCCTCCTCCCCCTCCTCCTTCTCCTCCTCCTCCTCCTCCTCCTCCGTCTCCTCCTCCTCCTCCTCCTCCTCCTCCTCCTCCTCCTCCTCTGAAGGTCCTGACCAGGGGAGCCCGTTCAGACCGTCGCAGCAGGAGTCAGGGCACTTAGCTCCTGGTGCAGCCTGCTCCCGCCTTGCACATCGGCAGTTGCACATGTCGCCCCCCCCCTCTTCAAGCTCCTGCTCCTCCTCCGCCTCCTCTTCTTCCCTCCCCCTCCTCGCCTCCTCGCTCCTCGCTCCTCCTCCTCCTCCTCCTCCTCCTCCTCTTCCTCGCTCCTCCTCCTCCTCGCTCCTCCTCCTCCTCCTCGCTCCTCGCTCCTCCTGCTCCTCCCTCCTCCTCCTCCTCCTCCTCTTCCTCCCTCCTCCTCCTCCTTCCACCTCCTCCTTCCATCCCCCTTCTTTGCCTGACCATCAGACTTGCTGGTCGGGTGGGTCGAGCGTTTCGCCTGAAACTTGCTCAACATCTATGGCCCTGAAGTTTGGAGTGTCTGGCAGCTATACAGGACGGATGCGGGTGGGGTCGCTACGGCGCCGCGCGCGTTCATCTCAAAGTTTGCAGCACTTGCGATGGCGGGGGAGACCGACCTCAAACTTGAGCTCTCGCCCTGGCGCCGCGCATACTCGTTCGTCTTACACTTGTGTGCCGCAACCACACCGACGGTGGTGGCCGTTTTGGAAACGGAACGCCCGCCCTGGAGCCCCGCGCCTTCCTCTCTCGGAAGTCTGCAACCACCGCAATGATTGGGGGGGCGTCTTCAACATGGAGCTCTCGCCTTAGCGCCGCGCGTATTCGTCTTAACACGCGTCAGCACTGAAAATCATGCAGGGCGGATTGGTTTCAGAATGTAGCTCTCGCTCGAGACTTCCCTGTGCCCTGTGCTTAAAGATCAGAAGCTGGAGCATACGTAACAGCTGAAAGGGTGGAGGGCGGTTCCTTTTTTCAGATGGGGCGTTCGCTCAAGACTTCCTGGACACGCACTGCGAACTTCCTGGACACGCACTGCTGCAAGTGTACTATTTTCTGAACGGGGATCTTGATTGCCGCACCGCTGATCCGTATTATCATAGCTTCGAATTCCTTATGAGCTATTGCAAGGGTGCACGGCAGTTCCTTTTCAGAACGAGGCTCTCGCCTGGGTGGCAGACCCATGTGGTGCTGGTCTTTCGAGAGGGGGGGCTTCGTGCACTGACTAGGAAGGCTTGGAGGACTGAATGGGAAAAAAGTTGGGACGGGAGGGTGTATGGCAACATGGTTGATGCATCCTTGATTTGCTCTGGTCCTCCTCCTCCTCCTCCTCCTTCTTCGAAAACCGACTCCAGGAATGTTCGAGGGCTGCCTCACTCACAAATCCCCTCCAGGACCTCTCCAGAGGTTAATTTTGGCCAGAACTTTGAGGCTGATGTAGGCGTGGCCACAAGTGCACCCGAACACAACCCAAACTTGTCTCACAAAATCCCCAAACCTCGTTCCTCGATCTTCTCCCCAACCCCCGACGTCGTGTTTTGTTTCACCGTGGACCCCCAGAGGTCTGGACCCCTTTCCAAGGACCAGTTGCTCAACCTCAATCGTGCCTTGACGGCCAGAGGGCCCGGCAAACGACCCCAACTGTGATTCCTTCACGACGCGTCGTCTGGGCCTCGAGTGCTGGCTACATTCCAGAAACACTCTACGCAAAGGTGACCTTCGGTGCGCGGCTTTGAAGGGGCCATTGGGGGAACCCTGTTGGCCCGCCATGACCCTCGCTCGCACATGCGCTTGGTGCTCGTAAAGACTAGCACCTTCACATCGCCAGCGCACATGAGACTCAACCTTAGAACGCACGATCCGACTCAGGTGTGCGGGCAATGACTTGGGACCCGGCGCCTGTGAGCCCGCCCCGAAGGTGACTCTGGCGCATGGCCACTCTCACAGAGGCATCCAACATAGGGTCCGAGCACGTGGGGTCGGAGCACGGCGCCGCACCGCTTCTGCATCGCCGATGCATCGGCGACGTCGGCTGGTGAGGCTCCGGGCTGCGCGCAGACAGCCGCCCCAAGGTGGTCCCTAGCTGGCCTCAACAACGGGCCCGCGTAGTCCGTGGCGGTCTCAGCACCCTGGCGCCGCCTCCGGCAGCACCACTGGGGGCGCTCGGTGCCTCTTGGCTTGGGTGCTGTGGCCGCCGCGGACGACTCGGGGGCACCGTTCGGGCCAGCCAGGACAACCTTGGGGGCCGTCTGTGCGCAACCCGAAGCCTTCCCAGCGTCGGCGACGCATCGCCGCCGACGGCGTGCAGAGAATAAGGAGGAGGAGGAGGAGGAGGAGGAGGAGGAGGAGGAGGAGGAGGAGGAGGAGGAGGAGGACGAGGAGGAGGAGGAGGACGAGGAGGAGGAGGAGGAGGAGGAGGAGGAGGAGGAGGAGGAGGAGGAGCAGGAGGAGCAGGCCTGGGCCCCACATCGAGCCGCGCCACCGCTGCCTCGGCGGTGCGGCGCGGCCCTCGGGCCCTATAAATCGCCTGCATGCTGCCGCAGGCCCCCCTCGGAGGCCTGGGGCGCCCGAGGCCCCCCTCGGGCAACACAGGAAAGGGCCACTCCTGCGCGCCGCCGAGGCCCGAGGAGCAGACGACGACATAAAAAACCTGCCCGAGGGCAGGGCTGGGCCTGAACGTAGCTTTTCGCTTCGGTTTCGTCTTGTGCCTCGCTTTGCTCTGCCTGCTTTGTTTTGCTCTGTACGTAGCCCGCCTAGCTTTCAGCGGAAGAGGTTCGCTCTCGCCCCGCCGACCAACAAACGTTTCGTTTTGCTCTGCCCCGCGCCGAGCCGCGCCGCCGTTGCCTCGGCACTGCGGCGCGGCCCTGCGGCCCCCCGTGCCTCCGCTGCTGCCCGCAGGCCCCCCTCGGAGGCCCGGGGCGCCCGAGGCCCCCCTCGGGCGAGAGCAAAGGGGCCCCTCCTGCGCACAGCCGAGGCCCGAGGAGCAGACGACGACACGCTCTTAGGTGGGGCATGCCCTCCCACAGGGGGGGTCTTGGGCGACAGATTCAGAATAGTCAAGCAAGTTCCGGCAATGGTCCAAAACAGTCAAAACATGGTCCCCAGACTATGTTTTTCTCTTTTTTAAGACTTTTCCTTAAACATATGCCTCCTGTTAGAGGGACATGCCCGACTTAACGATATAAAAACAACCTGCTGGAGCAGGGCTGGACCTAAACTTTGTTCTTCGTGCTGTTTTCGTCTTGCTGTTCGTTTTTGCTCAGCCTGATTTGCTGTACCCGCCTGCCCTAACGAAAAACAAGACACAGCCGAAGTCCAGCAACACGGCGCTTAGGCCCAGCCCTGTATTGGAGGTCCGACCGGATTTCTTGGATCGGAGCTGGCCCCCCTCCCTGGCGCGTGGAGCGCGCCAGGACGGCGCTGGAGGCGCCGCCAGGGGGGCCCCAGCGCCGATCCAAGCCATCCGCGCGGACCTCCAACAGTTTACGTTTGTGCAGCCTCATGTTCTTCGAAAAAAATGGCCGCGCCCCCAGGCAAAGACCAATCAACGCCGAGTCGGAGAAACCGTATCGCATCGGAATGCGCGTCGGCTCGGGCTCGGCCGGGCCAAGATGCACAAAGTCGCCACGCAAACACCGAGCCGCACTGGATCGCCGGAACACTGGAACCTGCTCGCATCGAGCCGGCTGGGCTCGATTCGGGGGCGGCGAAGAGGGGGTGTCCAAGAGGGGGGGTGCAAATCATGACCAGCGGCATGTGCGCGGCCCAGCGGGGGGGCCAGGGACGTAATGAAATATGAAGAGGCGCCATGAAATCTGGGGAAATATCATGGCCCCCGCCATGATATCCACCCCCCCTAGTCATCACCCCCCTTTTTTCCGTCCCCGATCGATGTGGAATCGGATCGATCGGATCAAAATGGGCCCGCCCTGAGATCCGACCTCGCAAAGACAAAAAACAATAACATGGCAAACGGCCACGGCCGGGCCCCTGGGCCCCACCCTTCCGCGTCCTTGCTTTCGAGCCGGGTCGCTCCGCGGAGGCCCCCTGGGGCCCGAGCTTCAGCGGAGGTGCCCGGCTCGAGAAACTCGCCGGGCGCCCGAATTGTCCGGGGCAGCTCGGGCCCGGGGCCGCTCGGGCTCGCATCCCCGCAACACGAGCCCCGAGTTAGCCCTGACCCGAGTTACCCTGGACGATTTGGGGCTCTGGACGCCCGAATCATCCGGGGTAGCTCGGGCCCGGGGTAGCTCGGGCTCGCATTCCCGAAAAACGAACCCGAGTTAGCCCTGACCCGAGTCACACGTCGTTCATGTCTAATCGTGCTCATTTCTGATTGTGCTCGTTTCTAACTGCTCCTGTCCCCCTAGTGGCCAGGCAGAGAGGCCCAGGACAGAACCACCAGAAATCACAGGATCCTGGCCCCCCAAGCAACAAAAAATCACAGACTCTTCGAATACTTCGACGTGAGCTGTGTGTGTACCCCTGCGTGTTTCGGGGCTCTGCTCCGGCCGCCTGAGGCCCCGCCCGCCCGCGCTCCGTCTCCCCAATTCGTGCTTTGCGCGGCCCGCCTGGCTCTTAACCGGAAGAGGCTCGCTCTCGACCCGCAGACCAAAAAACAAAAAAGTGTTTCGGGGCTCTGAGCTTGAGCCGCCAGGATCTCTGGGCCCCGCCCAGGGCGGCTGCGCCTGCCGGCGCCCGCCGCCGACGGCGCCCGACTTGGCCGGCTGCGCTGGCGGCATGGCGCCCGGAGGCTCGGGGGGAGGAAGGCCCCTCGCCCTCGCCGCGGCCCGCCGAGGAGGCGCCTCACCGTGGGCTCGGTCAGATTTGCCTGCAGGGCAGTTCCCCCAGCCCCTCCTCCTCCTCCTCCTCCTCCTCCTCCTCCTCCTCCTCCTCCTCCTCCTCCTCCTCCTCCTCTCCTCCTCCTCCTCCTCCTCCCTCCCTCCCTCCCTCCCTCCCTCCTCCCTCCCTCCCTCCCTCCCTCCCTCCTCCCACCCTCCACCCTCCCTCCCTCCCGCCCTCCCCCTCCCTCCCTCCTCCCTCCCCCTCCCTCCCCCTCCTCCCTCCCTCCCTCCCCTCCCTCCCTCCTCCCTCCCTCCCCCCTCCCTCCCTCCCTCCCTCCCTCCCTCCCTCCCTCCTCCTCCGTCTCGGCGTTGACTTTGCATGCATGTCCCCCCTCGCCCCCACTCCTCCCCCGTCCCCGCTCCCCCCCAATCTGACAGCAACCAAACTTTGAGCAGGGACCGACCGTCCTGGCACTGCTGTAGGCCTGCCATGATATGTTCTTAAAGCCAACTAATGATCTTAGAACATAGCCAATGCTCGTATCACAGAAACCAGATGTAATAAAACACAATACAGTTTCAGCCACGCAGGTTCTAAGATCATCTCGTGCAAACCACAACAGGTTCTTAGAACATCCTTTGGTCACGCGCCGCCACTGCTGGACAACTCGGCATGGAAAGACTTCGGCCAGACTGAACTCGGCCAGGCTGGGCTCGGCAACGCTGAATTCGCCCTGGGCCGAATTCAGCCATGCCTGGCCGAGACAAGCCTGGCCCCGGTTCAGCCTGGCCGAGGTCAGCCTAGCCACACTTTTCTTGGCCGAGTCTTTCCCTTGTCCTCCCCCCCGCCTCCCCCCCTCCACCGCCGCCGACTTCTTCAAACAGCGCTGGACAGAACAGGCGTGAGGTCCAAGTAACCTTTCGGGCTTCGCCGCGCCCCCTTCCTCCTCCTCCTCCTCCTCTCCTCCTCCTCCTCCTCCTCCTCCTCCTCCTCCTCCTCCTCCTCCTCCTCCTCCTCCCCCTCCTCCCCCTCCTCCCCCTCCCCCTCCGCTCGGGCGTCCCTGAGCGCGGGGCCCCGCAGGGAGGCCGCGCGGCAGCGAGGAGCGCCCCGGGCGGGCCGCGAGGGCCGCGGGGGGCAGCGGGGCCGCGCGGGGCGCGGGAGACCCCCTCCGCCCCCGAAGGGCTGGCCGCGGTGCGGCCCCCCTGCGCGGCGCGCGGCACTCGGCGCGTCACCCCTCGGGGCGGCCCTCTGCCTGGAGCCGCTCGGAGGCGGGGAGGCTGGAGCGCAGGAGGAGGCGGGACGGGAGGGGGGGGGGGAAGGATTGAGATTCTTGGACTCTTTGGGCCCTCTTGCGCTGCCGGGGGCCTCTGGAGTCCCCTGGGGCCTCCAGGTGCCTCCAGGAGGCTCTGGGGACCTCCGGAGAGTGGGGGGGGTGCAGGGAGGAGTGGGAGGACGAAACTTCTGACTGAGGGTCAGGTCACAGGCAACACGAAGTAGCAGCGAATATAGAAGGACAACCAGCGGGCAAGAACGGCAGGCAAGAGCAAGATTGGCGGCGAGTCCGGGTGGGAAGTGAGAAGGGGCAAGCCTTCTCAGAATGCTCGGACGCTCCCTGGGCCTCCTGAGAAGCCATCTCCAAGCCTCCCCCGAAGACACAGGAAACGTCTCCGACGGCGCGAGGGCTTCTGAGAAGGCGCGCCGCCTTCTGAGAAGGCCTCCTCCTTCTCATTTCCCCCCCCCGCTCGCCGCCGACAAGAGCCGCAAGACGAGACACACTCGACAGCTCCACCGCACCCCTGGCCCCTCGGCTCCCGCCCCCCCCCCGGAGCACTGCCACCGCGCGGCCGGCAACCCAACTCGACAGCTCGCGGGTGGTCGCTGGCCACTGCGCCATCCCTGAACCTTGCTGCTGTCGTGGGCGCATCTGCTGCTCTCGCCGAGGGCGGGGCGCCAATATCTCTCGATCGCTCCTCAAGCTGGGCCCTCCCCGGAGACATCCGACCTTCTCGAGGAGGGGCCCCTGGCTTCCTCGGGGATCTGCTGACCCGGGTCCATCCAGACCCGGGACAGTCAGGCTCTTGCAGGATCCAGCAGGATCCTGCAAGAGCCTGCGCGCAAGCCTGGGTCAGGGAACTCCTGACGGCGGCGCGCACAAGGGAGTATAATGGGGGAGGGGGGAACGCTTCCTAGAAGAAGGCTGCTTCCTATAGAAGGCGCCGGCCTTACACCTACAGACGAGGCCCGCATCTTCTGAGAAGCAGGGGTGCTTCTGCGGAGCCTTCCCCCCTCCCCCCTGGCTCCTGCCCCCCTCCCCTCCCCTCCCCTCCCCTTCTGAGGAGCCTTCCCCCCTCCCCCCATTACCCCCCGCTGCGCGCGCGCGCGGCCGACCCTGGCCCTGCAGGGTCCTGCAGGATCCGGCGCTCCGACGGACCCCCGCCTGCATCGACCCCCGCCTCCGGAGAGCCCCGGCTGCCCCAAGGCAAGCTCGGCCCTCTGGACGCCCGGAACGGGTACGGAACAACTGGGCACCATGCCCAACAACACACGTTGTCCCAGACCGACAGCGGCCGCCGTTGGGCAGGCGGCCTTCCGTCTCACGTGTGCACACAGGCCGCGGCGACACCGACAGCGAGTCCGGTTCAAAATGAACAAGGGACCACTGTTGGGCATCGTACCCATTCTCTCCGTACCCATTTCTGGCGGCGCGCAAAAGGGGGTAGGGGGAGGAAACACCCTGCTTCTTAGAAGGCCTCGGCCTCACGTCTACAGAGCAGGCCCGCACCTCCTCAGAAGCAGGGGTGCCTCTGAGGAGCCTTCCCCCCTCCCCCCTACCCCCCCTCTGCGCGTTGCCGACATGTCGTTCGTGCCGAGTCCCCCGCGTCGCCGTCGGAGTCCTCGGGGCCCTCGCCGGGCCCCCGCGGCCGTCCGCGGGGCCCTCGCCGGGCCGTCCGCGGCCGTCCGCGGCCTCGCCGCGCCTCGGGGCCCGGCGAGGGCCCCGGCGAAGGCCGCGCACGGCCGCGGGGCTCCCCTATCAGGACCTGCTCGCGGCGCGAGGGGGGGAGGGTCCGGGCCTCGGGCGAAAGATCGGCGGGCGTGGACGCTCGGGGGCCAGGACGTGGCCGGCGCGTCGCGCCGAAGCGCGGTGGGCCAGCATCGGCGGAGCGACAGGCTCCTCCTCCTCCTCCTCCTCCTCCTCCTCCTCGATCCTCCTCGATCCTCCTCGATCCTCCTCGATCCTCCTCCTCCTCCTCGATCCTCCTCCTCCTCCTCCTCCTCGATCCTCCTCGATCCTCCTCGATCCTCCTCCTCCTCCTCCTCCTGTTCCTCCTCCTCCCCGATCCTCCTCGATCCTCCTCGACCGCATCGCTTCACCTCGATCGCCGTGGCTGCTCCTGGCTTCTGGGGCCGTCGGCGGCACGGGGCTGCGGAGCGCGGGAGCTCACACGGAAGAGGCACGACAGTGGAGGCCCGACCACAAGAAACCTTCCACAGGAAACCCAGCCCTGAGACCCCAGAACAGGACGTCCATGGACTTTTGGCGTGGGCACGTCGCGCTCTCCGTCGCAAGGCCATCGACACCCAAGAAGCCCAGGGCACCCTGGAGGCAGGCAGGGTTTCTTGGCAGGGTCTCTTGGCATGTCCTCCGACAGGCGGATTTTGGGCGAAACATGAGAAATAGCCCCAAACATCTCCAACCATAGTCAGAACTCGTCCCCAGACTACTTTTGACTGCTTTGAATACTCCTCCTGTAGAGGGACGTGCCCGACTTAGCACTCGTGCCCGTGGTAAGAGGCAAACAAAACCACCTCGCCTCTGACCAAAACCTCGCTTCCACACGGGCGCCGAGCGATAGCAGGCTGCCCGTGGGGTGGCCCGCCACGTTCAGGCTCCTTGGCGAGGTCAGCCCGACACGACGTGGCTTCGCCTGGGAGCGAGCGGGGCGAATCTTTCGGCCTGCGCCATGGGTCGGGTCCGGCGAAAAGGAGGGGATAGCAAAGAGGGGTTTGAGAATCAGCTCACGTAGCTGATTTTCCCGGCGCCTCCCGGCGCCGGAGGCGGCTATGTATCGAGGAATGGGCCCCTGGGTGAGGCCGAAACCAGCTGCATGCAGCAAATTTCGTAATCCCCCCTTTCCCAATCCCCCCCTTTCGTCCGGCCCGAGCCATGGGGCAAGAGAGCCCAGAATCGAATCGATAATCCGGATCGGCGATCGAATTGAAGCGGGTCGGCGGAAATCGGCAGCCAATGCGGGGGGAGTCGATCCGGCGGAGATCGGCAGTCTAGCCAGGCCCCCATGGAGAAGCCGACCTCCGTCTGAACCCGAGGCCGCATCCAATCGGAATCGGAGTCGATGGACATCGGAACCGAGTCGAGCCAGAGGAGTCGACACGAGCCATGGCCAAGGGTTACCTTTGAGGGACCTCTGGGAAGAGGACCGGGACCTCTGGCGGCCCAAAGAACTGGTGACTGCTGTGGAGGAGCGCAAGGCCCGAGGATCGAGGACATCCTCGAGGGTCGAGGTCTTTGGGCCTTCTTGGCCCTCTGGGCAGAGGCCTCTCGTGGACACGGCTGGATCCGCCTGCTGGGGCTGGCCCTGGGGATACGAACAGGTACCGATACCGCTGTGCCCCGGACCTCTCACGGGGCGCGTCCTGACCAGGACTTCGAGGCGAATCCAGCGGTGGCGACGAGGGCCTCCCAGGAGGACCAAAAAGGCTAAAACGATCGGGGATCTACTGACCCCGATCAATCCAGACCCGGGTCAGTCAGGCTTTGCAGGATCCTGCAAGATTTTGCAAGATCCCGCAGGATCTTGCGCCCGCACGATCTTGCGCCCAAGCCGGGGCCAATGCAATCCTGCCTCTGCTGGATCCTGCAAGATCCGGCGCTCTGACCGACCCCCGTTTGCCTCGAGCCCCGCCCCTCGATCCCCGCAACTTTCCCGTGGATTATATA